AAGTGTAAAATTCCGACTTTTTATAGCTGACAAATGCTGCTTATTGACATTTAGAGTTTAATTAATTTTTCATGAAGTGTGTCTATGTTTGTCTTTGTCTAAAATCCATCTAAAATACTTCCCTGCCTGTTGTCGATCATGTCCCAGACATAAAAGGAAATGTTTCTTTTGTCTAAACATCAGTCGTGATGCTTTGTAGTCACGTAGAACAAACACTCTTCCATTTGAGCCTTTGTTCTGAATGCAAAATACTCATCACTTGAGATAACATCACGTGTACCAGAGTTTGATTCACATGCGTCATGCCACAAGACGGTTACGTAAACTTCCCCAGATGAAACTTATTTCATCAAATACAATATGACAAATAGGTGTACCCAGACAGAATTAATAAATATCTGTCTTGTATAAACACATATGAGTCTGAGTATTGTAAGAAGATCTCTGACAAAACATTGTGAGGCCATTAGGATAAAACATCTGGTGTCTGTTTCTGTGTTTGGTAACAGTCACAGGCTAGTCACAGGGCGGCTGTACTTCGCCGAAAATGTTCTAATACTGTTGTCAGTTTTAGTAGTAACGTGTAAGAATTATCATATGTGATTTCCTACAGAGAAAAAAAGAGAGCTTGATCTCTCAAGAGTAATAAAGAACCAGTAAAGGCTATTCTTGAACCACAGTCAGTCTGCAAATGTGAGCGTAAACACAGTATTTGAACTGAATAAACATAGACCTACTGTCTTGTGCATCAAATGTACATTATACGCCTTATTTTAGCTGCTTTTATCCTAAGAAATGTTTCTAGGGGTAGAGTGGTGTCTTGTTCAATGGGTGGATTACACAGTAACAAAAGGATTAAAGATGCATTCACTAGTGTCCACTTGTAGTAAGATCTGAACCAGCACCGGAGATGGGCTGAGGGCAAATTGAATTAATCTAATAAGCCAGGTCAGGTAGGGTCCTTTCTATAGCTGCAGGTCTCGGGTCTGCGTGTCTATGTGTCTAATATCCAAGTGGATGTAAGCGGACTCATCGTTGCCTCTGAGCACACGGTGTGTAAAAATCATTGCAGGAGAAAGCCTGCTGTTTGAGGTGAGATGGAGAGTGTGAACTGTGAAGTGCTGTGGAAATTGTTACTCTTTTTGACTGCAGCTGCTCGTTAATTGTTGGCATATTGTGCTGCTGCCAGTGGTCAACTTTCCATCCAAATCTAGCGCAAAGAAGTTACGGAAAACTGACAAAAAGAAATGCAAATTAATGCACGTTTCCATCCATTATTACTATATGAATATCAGGAGCCGGCTCATTGAGATAAACAGTGGTGCTGATTCTCTGGTCAGGTGACATTAAACTATCGTAGTAAAGGAACATGCAATGAGATTACATAATGAAGAGAGTGGAAATATGGCATTGATGTGTATTTCATGTAAGCTTATCTATCACATTTTACACACAAAGGCAATTTAAAGTGCTTTACATAATGCAAATTGCAAATGCAAAGACTATATTCAGGAAAGTTACAGTCACTTCACACAGATCTGATGTTTTTGTCGTCCACCATTTTTAGTCCTTTCAGTGAAGCAGAAGCTTCATGTAAGTTATGATTTATTCACAAAGTCTGTTTCCACTGCACTTTGCCACATTTTGCTTTCATGAATACACCACCTGTTCTACCTCATGCAAGTGTAAACATTGTTTTGTGATACCCTAGCTGATGGAAATGCTCTTAGTGGTGGTGTTGGATTAAGTCTAATTATCCTCAGGTCCTACTTTCTGATCAGGTTTTTTCAATGCAGGCTCCGGTAGGTTTTCCACAGGTCTGACTGTGGACCAATGAAGACTCCTTTAGTTCACACTTAAAATCTCAAGTCTTGGTTTATTCTTAGTCACTGTGCTGACAGCACAGAGGTTTGCTTCACAAGCTTACAACATCCACCAACTCTGTGCATGTGTATATAGTGTGGATGTCTTTGTGTGAATGATTTCACAACTGACCACAAACTCGAGGTGTTCCATCAAACCCTCTTCCTGTCTCTGTTCTTTTAAAAAACAAGTATTTTGACAGTAGAGAGAAGACCGGAAATGTGGGATAAGAGAAATGTCTACCTTGTCACCTTGGGGATAAGTGTGAATCTTTATTTCAATGCTGCATTGTTCCACTGATATTGTATACATTCATACCACCTCTAAAGTTCACCTTGAATTCAGTCTGAACACTCCTTAACACAAGCAGACTTTTGTTTTTCTTTTGAATTAAAGCAAATAAGGTAAACATATTAAATATGCTGTGAATGCATTGTTAACAACTACTCTGTAACACACACATGCACACAGGCACACTCGCACAGTTCACCTGTGGAGCCTGTGAAGGTGGTCCCTCTGTGAAATGTTCATCCTCACCATGGCAACAGGATGAAGCCCCTACATCCAATCACTTTACCTAAGCTACACGACCGTGGTGGCAACACTTTAGAGGAAAAAACAATGATATTACAAAGAGAAGGAGAATTCTACTTTTCAAAAGCTTAAACAGCTTCTCTCTTCAAAGTGCATAGTCAATTATCTCAGCGGGACATGAGTGTGTAGTCAGAACTTATAGAATTAAATATAACAAATAAATAATATTCATAGGACTTTGAATTTTGTGATTTATGCCAGTCATTTTAGCAAAGGCTGAAACATTATCTGAGCTGAGCTGGTGCAGCTAAACCATTAAATCTTCATTTTTCAAGTGTCTTAGAACAATACTCACATTCCTATATACGTACATTAGAAAACATACTGGCTGCTCTAATTGTTCCTCCTCTTCATAGTGGCTCCGAGGCAGTGCTGTAGCCAGGATTTGAAAAATACGGAGGTCCCCAAAATGTTTTATTTATTTTGATTTTTCCATAGCTGTATTTTTATGAGGCAGTTCCTCAAAAAAACCTCTAAAATTTACTACTGCCTGTTAAATCAACACAGCTAACAATACTCTAATAATACCACATTTTAATATTTTCACCCATATTCTCATTATTATTATTGCACATTAGTCTTTTATGCCCCCTCCACATTTCACTACACATATTAATAAAAAAAGGACAACTAGATGAAATAAAAGAACTGTTTTGATTTTTTCTTTAATTAGTGCTAGATTACACTGTTGTTGTTTTTTTACAGGAAACGTAGAAATTACTGAGTGAAGTGTTCCCATTTATTTCCCAACACGAATGTCTAAATGTTGTTTCAACACCCTCTCTACACGGCCAGGAATAAATTTCTCCTCAACAACATTACTGAGGACATGACTTCAACTCTCCTCAAATGTAACAGCAGCCGTGCTACTTATATAGTGATCCCTTAAAAGTGAGTCTAATATAAGTGACAGGGGATAAAAGCCACAGTCCTGCATCCTAAAACATGAGCTAAAGCTAATATGAGCCCTGGGGGGGCTCATATAACATAACATCTTTTTAAGTTACAGTCTTTATGCTACAAAATTCCCTCTTGTATTCAGACAGACTTTAAAAATCTGAACCTGTCCTTGAAATGTAACCACCGTCTGTGCTCCGTTCATGTTAATTAGGACTGTAGCGCTTCTTTGTGCATTACTGCTCGGTCTCACACCGATGAATCATACACCTATCAGCACAAAACACAGCCAAGCTGGAAGTTGACCTTATTCAAGAGGCTGCTCAGGCATAAGCCACTGGGGTAAATTTACTTGGCCAACTATCAAACTTAACACTGAAAGGCAATATTTTTATATGTGGGCAGAAATGGCAACGTAATGTCACATCCCAACTAAATGAAACCACAGTGTTGGCTCTTTGTACAGACATCTCTGTGCTCCTTATCAGCAACAGGATGGCTCTCTCCATTCTTGCTATTCAGTTAACTCACCAGAACAATTAGCGGGTGAGTTTCTTTTGGTGGATTTTGTTGATTAAAGCAACAGTAAAAACAAAGTTACAACAATGACTTTGAGTAGCTAGTTATGCTCATGCTGAACGGTTTTACTCCAAACAGGCCTCCAGCACGTTTAGTAAATGATCTTTGCCCATTTCGTGCCTCTCTGAAACTGTAATGAGACAAGCAGGGACATTATCTTGATTAAAATCAATCCCTATTGGATTACACTCTGCTACATTCCCTCGCTTGGCTTCACTGATTAGAGAACAGCACAGAAAACAGAAATCAGAAGTGAGGAGACTCATCAAAGCGCTACATGTACATGCATGGACAACTTGACAAAAAATCCCTGGACTCCTCCACACCCTCCATTACTGTCGTACTTACTTACTCAGTGTACTTGCTGCAGTCATGGTGTTTTATTATCCAACAGGTTTTACACTCTCTTATACGATTACTGTATTATTGGTTGTCACAGAATAGAAAATGTAGTGAGAGATACAGCTGGCTTCCAGTGCATTGTCACTTACAGGAGAAACTGATGGTGCAATTGATCTGATGTTCAATAGTGTATGAATGTGTGTGTGTGTGTGTGTGTGTGTGTGTGTGTGTGTGTGTGTGTGTGTGTGTGTGTGTGTGTTTGTGTCTTTTTTTTAATATACAAACACACACAGGCTGAAATGCACACTTCATGCACTTGTGGACATGCAAAGGGGAGAAATGGTGGAGTGATGGGGCTGCAATGTTACCGGCGCCCCATGAGCAGGTTTTGGGGTTAGGTTGCCTTGATCAAGGGCACCTCTCCAGCTACCAGAACCACGACCCTCCGGTTCCCAACCCAAGTCCCTACACAAAGTGCTTTGTAAAACTGTATATGCAAAAAAAAAAAAAAACCCAACAACATATATATATATATATACACAAAAAAGGTTTCAGGGCATTAGGTTTTTAGGCATAGGAAAGGAGACAGAAAGGAAGGAAAAGAGGAAAGGAGGGAAAGAAGAAACCGATTGAATGAAGGTGAGTGAAAGCAAGAAATTGGAAAATAGGAAAGAAGGTAGAAAGAAAGGAAAGAAGTAAGAAAGGACTGAAGGAAAGAAGTGGAGGAGCAACTGAGGGAAAGAAGAAATGGATGAACATAGATGAGTAGTGAGTTTGTGTGTAAGGGGAAGGAAGGAATGAAGGAAGGATGAAAGTGAGGGGGAAAGGAAAGAAGGAAGGGGCAGGAAGGAAGGACAGAATGAAGGTATGAACAAAGATGAGTGAAAGTGGGGTGGAAGTAAAAAAAAAGGAAGCAAGAAAGGAAGGAAAGAAGGAAAGATAAAAGGAACAAAAAACACGAGAGAAAGGGAGGAATTGAAGAGGAGAGGAAGGAAAGGAGACAGGAAGGAACCAAGGGAGGAAGGAAGAAAGGGAGCGAACAAATTCATTTTCACTCCGTCGCTTCTTTACCGTGCAGGCTCTCTGTGTGCCGCGCGAGGGTCGTCAGTGCACTCACTACAGCGCACGCGGACACATTCTTTAACGCGGTGAGATTTCACGTTACCGGCGGTCCGTCCGTCCCGCACCTGAAACAACAGCGCTTCTTCTTCTAACGACAGACCAGCAAACCAGCGGGGCATCACAGTCACCGAGTCCGCAGACGGGCACCCGAGGGGAGGCGAAAGACGCGCGCAGCACCCTTACCGCACATACCGAGCGAGGACCATGGAGAGCGCAGGCAACGGCTCGGGCGCGGATTACCGGAGCCAGCTCCCCGTGCTTTACAACAACAGCAGCAGCAGCTTCTGTCCGAACTTCACCGACGGCAACAACACCACGAGCTTCGCGAAGGGGCGATGCGACGAGGAGCGCGGACTGACCAGCAGCCTGGACGACGACGCCAACCCGGTTATCATAGCGATTGTCATCACCGCTCTCTATTCCATAGTGTGCGTGGTGGGGCTGGTTGGAAACGTGCTGGTCATGTATATCATCGTCAGGTAGGACAGAAAAGTACTCACAAAAAAAACAACAACAACAACACTGGTGTGTGTTTTCTCAGCTGTTACACGTGATTAGGCTTTTTTTAAAACAGACTTTCTAACACGACTGTGAGTGAGAAAGCACACTGTTGCTATATTAACCGTATTAGACATAAATGTGTGTGTGGTGTGTGTGTGTGTGTGTGTGTGTGTGTGTGTGTTTGTTTATGAGGCCGAGGGAGACCATGTGAATGCGGTGTTGACAGCGCTAACAGCTCAGCTGCCGTTCGTGCGTAAAAATGCCTCCAACCTCCCAGCAAGTTGCTCCAGTGCGCAAAGAGCGAGCCAAGCGAGGGGCTTGGATTGGAAAGGCACAAAACTCGCTTCCTCTTTTATACAGCAACATCCAATATCCATATAAACAGAGAGATAATACATGTATATATGTAAAGACACTTGCTGTCTCTCTATGTCTATTTCATCCACAACATCATAACTAAACTGGAAGATCACACTGATGTGACAAGATGTTCCCATGTGTCACATGCACAGTGGCTGCTGTCCTTTGTTCGCTTGTGCTTATTCTAGGTTTCATGTAAATTAGATGCAGTAAAGTAGAAATGCTCTTCTGGCATACAGCTGATGCATACAGTTGTGCATCCGATGTGCTGCTCTATACTCCAGCAACACTGGTTTGATAAGTATTATTCAGTGTGTATCACTTATAATAAAAGCATACAAGATTTAAACTACATGTTGTCATACAATATGTCATCTACTGCTTCCCCTTCTTAAATCTAGGCCACTTTCATTCCGAGTCTTTGCACTCAGCTGACATCTCATTAACTGATATTTTAAACTTTGTTTCAAACAAATGTCACACTTTCAAGATCTCATCACAGCACAAGCTTTTATTCTCTTTAATCACATGTCACAAGGACTAAAGGATAATAACACAGGATGAGCGGTGCACAAATGAAAGATATCAAGGCCACTTGCTCTTTCTACAGAATAGGTGAGACTTCTGATCTCGCAGTCATTTCACACACTAAATTACCTTTTTTTTTTAGTTGGAGAGGTCAACTGACAAAGGAGTCTAACAGGGAGAAATAACTCTGCAAATCTGTTGGTTTGCCTGTTGATTTTCCATATTCATACACTGAAAATGTACACTCATTGTATTTATAAATACACAATATAAATACACTTTTGTGTTAACTTAAGACATAATTAGATCGATAATCACCTATCACCTATTTTGTGTTAATAAAATCAGCCCAGTGGGGTGGATTTCACCATGAGAAGGAGGATTTTACCTGCGGCCTTTAATTACACACAAATCTGCCATTTATTTTAGTTAAATGCTCCCTGGCTGATGCTATATATGTCAATCCGGATGAGGCTTTTTCAGGTAATAAAAGTCAGTAGATTGGTGAAGCAGAAAGAGGGGTGGAGGAGGAAAATGAGGACAAAACAGGTGAGAGATGAACTTTGAAAAGAGCTGGACATGAGTGGAGAAAGATTGATGGTGAGCATTGAGAGAGTTGAGAAGGAGTGCAATAAAGGTAAGGGTGGTCCAATTTCATTTTTCCACCTTGTGATTACCTCATTACCTTGTGTGGCCGAGTGGAGGATTTGCTGTGCTGAACGTGTCAGACATGTGCTTAAATGGCTTTGAAATTGAAATGACACCACTTTATTTGAAACACTAGATGTCAAAAGAGGAGGAGACTTCTTTATTTTAATTTGCTTCTCTGTTACTACTAAATAATACACTGTATCATTACTTTGTTAACACCTATAATTCTCCTCACCTCCCTGCTGTTTCCAGGGCAGATGCAACATGAAGCGAATGCTCATTTGCAAGGCTGCACACATCATCCCCTTCAGTCTGAGTGCTTCCCCAAATAGTTCTGTTTGACTAAAGAATGCACACATCTTTTTTCAGAATGTTTTCTGCATCTCTGCCGGATGTTTTCTAACCCAAATTATTTATGACAGATCTGCCTAGAATACTAGAATATTTTACTCAAGTAAAAGTAACATTACTTGTGTTAAAATATACTCAGATAAGAGTAAAAAGTGGGGTAAATATTACTGTGTTACCTTTTAAAAGGCATGGTATATGATGATGATGTTATATGATAGAACATTACAGAACACCTTCAGGCTATAAAATAAACTGCATTCACATGTCAACGTTTGAACCACACCACAGGGCCCTAATTTGTAAACCAACAATAAATTACATTTCTATAGACCGACATTTGCACACTGTGCACACAAATGCTTATCAATTATAAAACAAAATACATTTTAAATTAAAAATGAATGAATAAAATTTATAAATACATTTTAAAAAGACCTGTGGACACCACAACGGGTGCAACAAGCGATACACTGACTTGCCACTTTAACAGCAGAATAAAGCATTGCCAAAGCAGACAACACAGAGATGTATAGACATGTGGTAAATTTTTTCTGCTCTGTGCATTTTGCATTCTCAAATTAAAATGTAACCAGTCCACTCAGCCTCTGTGTCCCACTGTGCCCCTCAAAAATGTTTGAGCTGAATGAGCGCTCGACAGGCCTCACACACCTCACTGACGATAGAAGTTCCTCAGTTAACACAGAAGTTACTGCTGGAGGTTCCACCATGGGCATGTTAGCATTTAGCATGTTTGCCAGACCCAGCATGCACCTGTTCATCATGCAGCAGCGTGGGTGAGTTTGAGTGTCACCTCTCTGCACTGGAGCTCTGGCCCACTGGAGACTCACCCGCACCTTCTTCTCTGCTGCACCCGCTGATTTATCACCTTTCTTTTGTTCCTTTCTGACGTGGTTTATCCTGACTTTTCACGTGATTGTTGTTGTGTTGTGATTCTTACTCTTTGGATGCGACTTGAAATGTTGTAAAATACAGTACTAAGTAAAATTACTTTGATTTAAAAAAATACTCTTTCTTCCACCAGTGCCACTGGCACCATAGCAACAAAAGTGGAAAATGAAGGGAGATCACCGGGCAAATAGAAGGGAAATCTTCTTTTGAAGTATAAGTTATGCACCAGCGTCGTTTTAATAATGGGATGTATGTCATCAGCTGTCTGGCAGGGGCACAAGAGTGTTTACGATGTATGAGCTGGTATACAAGCGTGCATTATGTATTCCAAACTAGTTTGTCTACAAAGCAGATGATAGATGTGAAGGGCATTACTTGAGCTTTAGCTTGCTCATCCTTGGCTGTTTCGTTGGAACAGATTTAAGATGACACACCTGTCCCCTGCCTTCTCTCGTCTGTAATAAAAAATGGGCATCAGCCCTGATACTGCCACAACCAGGAGTGTGTGTTTGTGTGCAGGCATGCATGGTTGTGAGAATGTTGAGGACCGTGAAAAGTTTTGTGGATTTCTGCAACTTTTTGAGCTCCACTAATGAGACTTTAGGGGAATTTGGAGGAAGAGGAACCATAATCAATCAGGGTCATTAACATTCATCAACCTTTTTGTCTTTCTCTCTATCTGCCTGTCTTTTGGTCTTTTCTCTCTCTGCCGGCAGATTGAAAATGAACAGCCATTTAGCTAATGACAAACATTGGATATTTACTTGAAAATGGAAATGTAGTCTTGAACTCTTTGTCCCCACTTTACCGTCATGGCCTTGAACGCAATTTTGCTAGATTAAATAGAGACAGCAGTGGATGAGAAATGTTTTCCCCCCTTACTGTCTGAGTAATGATAACCTTAAAGCCATAAAACATTTCTCTCTCACTCTTTATCTCCCTGTCCTTTTGCTCGTCTGTTCGCTCCACATTCACATCCGCAAACTTCTTGTGAGCAAACAAACACAACCAGGGATCTGCACGCTCAATCGGAAAAATCAATTGCGGTTCAACAGAAACCGCTGGGCTCCACAAGGAATATGCCGCCAGTACAGAGTGCTTTCTGTTACCATGGAAACACTGGGAGGCGTTTTGAGCCTGATGAGTGCAAAATGACTCCACCACCTCCACCACCTCCCCAAACCCCTGCTTCCATCCACCGTCCAGTTAGATGAGCATCTGTACCTGGTTGGGCACATTCAGCAGCCAAGGTGTTTCTAAAACTTTAAATGCTTTTGTTTTGGAGGCTTTTGAACATCTGCACCCGCTGACCTGGATGCACTAAACTGCTGTTACTGACTGCATTTGTTGTACTGCTACATGCAGTACAACAAATGTGACCAAATGTAACGTCTTCACATAAGGCAAAAATTCTGTGACCCTGCTCTCTGATGTCAAAGTAACTTCTAAACATCTGCGTCTCTGCTGTTTATGTGTGAGTTTGAACCCGGTTACATGAAATATGATGTTATGATGAGAGTCAACACAATCTGGTTCGCAAGACTAATGTCATAGATCCTCACTAATGTTTCTCTCTAATGGGTTTCTCATTCTTCGCTGCCTGTCATGACAAATAGTCTCAGGCTGAGTTTCAAACAACTAACCTGCAGTCTTTTGAAGTCCAGGTTAATGCTCGGCAACAAAGCCTTTCACAAAACCATTTCTAGTGCTTGTATTGATTGTAAGCAATCTAAAAAGATAAGAATCTTTGTGAATTTAAAGGATATTACTAGCCGATAAAGCAGGGAAAACATCCAAGTCCTCATTTTGTGAATAAAATACTTCAAGTTCAGCTGAAGTTAATATGAGGCTTCAGCAGTCTGAGTTAAAACAAATCAAGTGGGTGTCTTTCTGTTTAGTACCAAACTCCCTTCAGCTGTGTCAAGAAAATACTGTCCACAGGAGCACAAAGAGGGAAATGCATACTAAAAAGACTGTAACTTTGCAAGATAACCACTTGATTTGCCTAAGACTGCAGGAACCTCATTAGCTTCAACTTCAGGACTGTGGTTTAGTTCCCTTTCGCTTTAGGGATGGGATTTCTTTCCAGCATGGACAGGAGGAGTGATAACAGCAAACAGTAGATTAATCAGGACATATGGGCTTGTTAGTATTGTTTTATGATTGAAAATGTTACCGC